ATATATAATATATTTGATATATACAGGCAATATATATACAATATATGTGATATATACAGGCAATATATATACAATATATGTGATATATACAGGCAATATATATACAATATATTTGATATATACAGGCAATACATATATAATATATTTGATATATACAGGCAACATATATACAATATATGTGATATATACAGGCAATATATATACAATATATTTGATATATACAGGCAATATATATACAATATATTTGATATATACAGGCAATATATATACCATATATGTGATATATACAGGCAATATATATACAATATATTTGATATATACAGGCAATATATATACAATATATTTGATATATACAGGCAATATATATACAACATATTTGATATATACGGGCAATATATATATAATATATTTGATATATACAGGCAATATATATACAATATATATGATATCTACAGGCAATATATATACAATATATATGATATATACAGGCAATATATATATAATATATTTGATATATACAGGCAATATATATACAATATATTTGATATATACAGGCAATATATATACAATATATGTGATATATACAGGCAATATATATACAATATATTTGATATATACAGGCAATATATATACAATATATTTGATATATACAGGCAATATATATACAATATATTTGATATATACAGGCAATATATATACAATATATGTGATATATACAGGCAATATATATGATATATACAGGCAATATATATATAATATATTTGATATATACAGGCAATATATATACAATATATATGATATATACAGGCAATATATATACAATATATGTGATATATACAGGCAATATATATACAATATATTTGATATATACAGGCAATATATATATAATATATGTGATATATACAGGCAATATATATACAATATATGTGATATATACAGGCAATATATATACAATATATTTGATATATACTGGCAATATATATACAATATATGTGATATATACAGGCAATATATATACAATATGTTTGATATATACTGGCAATATATTACAATATAT